TTTTTTTTTTGCTTTTTTTTGTTTTTGTTTTTGTTATTTTTGCTTTTTGGGGGGGTTGGGGTTTGTTTTGTTTTTGGTTGTTGTTGTTTTTTTGTTGTTGTTTTTTTTGGGGGGTCAGTTTTTCGAGGAAGTAGGTGAAGGGGGGAGGAAGAGCATGCATAAATGGGTACATGATAAAGGCGTGTGTTCGTAAGCGTGCAGCGTGTGTGTTTCTTAGCGTGAGTATTTGAGTTGAGTGCCGGATCATAAGGACTGTATTGTGCTGACGAGTGCTTAATTGCATTTTCTTTTTATGTTGAAACGTGTTCTATTCTGTCCGTCTACCGTGTCTCTCGCATCCGATACACGGATAGTGTTCATCCCGCTTTTGTTTTGTTTTTGTTTCTTTGTTTGTTTGGGGTTGTTTTTTTTTTATTTGTCTTTCAAGTTCAGTAGATCATAATATATCTATCGTGTCCAATATGTGTATATCAAAATATTGTAGCATCTTACCTGTCATGTCCAGTACAATGTATGTCTATTGTATCGATCATGTATAGTGGGTGGTTGGGGGTGCTCTGGTATGGTTTGCTTCTTCTTTTTATCAAACATCTATCGTCCTTATCTCCCCTTCTTCTTTTTTTATGTTTGTTACTCTTTTGTAACACCTCTACTAATCTTCTAGCGCTCATATGACTATGCAGTTGCGAGCGCCATAAAACCTCTACTAAAACTAAAGATCAGGTATATCGTGTCCAATGTGTCTATCAAAAGACTATCATATTATATATTATGCCCAATACAGTTATTCTTATGTCTATCGTACCAGCTTCTATCATATCTACCGTGTCCAATATAATGTCTATCAAAATTTTATCATATCTAACATGACCTCTATCGATTATCATGTCTTTCGTGTCCTCTATGTAACAGTATGGTCTATCACATCTATCATTCACAATGTATGTATCAAATACAAAATGTCCATTATTTATCCAAAATTACTACCGTGTCCACGTCTATTGCCAATCATATCTATTGTGCCCAATATATCTATCAGTATATTACTATCATGTTCAAAATGTGTGAGTTGGGGGGTGGGGAGTGTCTGTGTGCGTGCTTGTCTGTCTGTCTGTCTCTTCCTCTTTGTGTACGGTG